TTAGACTTTTGAACTTGATAAAACTGTCACAGTCACGGATAGGTATTGGCAACCTGTTCTTCAATAAACTATACCACACTGTAAACAACACACAACGCATTTGTTTTTTGATATTCTGCGGTATCTCTTGTATATATGTGTTGTTTCTTAGTCTATAGGCTAGTTCATGGATCATAGTTGGGCAGGAGGTTATAAATGAGAGTCAATTTATTGCTTTGTAAAGAAATATTAGATCGTTCTTTAGCCTACGCTGCCACAAAGGTTCTTATGTGAGTTGCTTACATCTATCTGTGTAATGGAGAGTGGAGTCACTTCCTAGCAGTTGGCATATGATGCGTCTTTGAACACCTTCTACTCTTATCTTGTCTGTGTTCTCCGTGTTAGAGAAGATAAAGGAGCAGTATTTAAGGGAAGGTCGTACACACATTTTATGGGGGTTAAGCATAGCCTCTGTTGTGAAGAAAGTATTCGTTACGAAACCAGTTAACCGTCTAGATTTAAAAATAATAGAGGAGGCATGTTCTTCGAAGTTTAGGCTTCGTGTGTAGATTTAGAAATAATTGAGGAGGCATGTTCTTCGAAGTTTAGGCTTCCTGTGTAATTAATTTCTAGATGGTGTACTGACTTCAGTGTCTAGATTCTACTTTTGTTTAAGTAGATTTGCAGTTCATAAGGATGCCGCATTAGTGGACGGGAGTTCAACGAATAGCTGAAGCTGTTTACAGTGTAGTTTGAAAGTTATTAGTGATTCGAATTTGGTAAAACTGTCACAATCACGGATAGGTATTGGCAACCTGTTCTACAATAAACTATACCACACTGTAAAAAACTTACAACGCAATTGTTTTTTGATATTTTACGGTATGTGGTGTATATATGTATTGTTTCTTAGTCTATAGGCTAGTTCATGGATCATAGTTGGGCGGGAGGTTAGAAATGAGAGTGAATTTATTGCTTTGTAAAGAAATATTAGATCGTTCCTTAACCTACGGTGCCACAAAGGTTCTTAAGAGAGGTGTTTACATCTATCTGTGTAATGGAGAGTGGAGTCACTTCCTAGCAGTTGGCATATGATGCGTCTTTGAACACCTTCTACTCTTATCTTGTCTGTGTTCTCCGTGTTAGAGAAGATTAAAGAGTAGTATTTAAGGGAAGGTCGTACACACATTTTATGGGGGTTAAGCATAGCCTCTGTTGTGAAGAAAGTATTCGTTACGAAACCAGTTAACCGTCTAGATTTAAAAATAATAGAGGAGGCATGTTCTTCAAAGTTTAGGCTTCCTGTGTAATTAATTTCTAGATGGTGTACTGAATTCAGTGTCTAGATTCTACTTTTATTTAAGTAGATTTGCAGTTCATAAGGATGCCGCATTAGTGGACGGGAGTTCAACGAATAGCTGAAGCTGTTTACAGTCTAGTTTCAAAGTTATTAGTGATTCGAATTTGGTAAAACTGTCACAGTCACGGATAGGTATTGGCAACCTGTTCTTCAATAAACTATACCACACTGTAAACAACACACAACGCATTTGTTTTTTGATATTCTGCGGTATCTCTTGTATATATGTGTTGTTTCTTAGTCTATAGGCTAGTTCATGGATCATAGTTGGGCAGGAGGTTATAAATGAGAGTCAATTTATTGCTTTGTAAAGAAATATTAGATCGTTCTTTAGCCTACGCTGCCACAAAGGTTCTTAAGAGAGGTGTTTACATCTATCTGTGTAATGGAGAGTGGAGTCACTTCCTAGCAGTTGGCATATGATGCGTCTTTGAACACCTTCTACTCTTATCTTGTCTGTGTTCTCCGTGTTAGAGAAGATAAAGGAGCAGTATTTAAGGGAAGGTCGTACACACATTTTATGGAGGGTAAGCATAGCCTCTGTTGTGAAGAATGTATTCGTTACGAAACCAGTTAACCGTCTAGATTTAAAAATAATAGAGGAGGCATGTTCTTCGAAGTTTAGGCTTCGTGTGTAGATTTAGAAATAATTGAGGAGGCATGTTCTTCGGAGTTTAGGCTTCCTGTGTAATTAATTTCTAGATGGTGTTCTGAAATCTGTGTCTAGATTCTACTTTTGTTTAAGTAGATTTGCAGTTCATAAGGATGCCGCATTAGTGGACGGGAGTTCAACGAATAGCTGAAGCTGTTTACAGTCTAGTTCCAAGGTTATTAGCATTTTGAATTTGGTAAAACTGTCACAGTCACGGATAGGTATTGGCAACCTGTTCTTCAATAAACTATACCACACTGTAAACAACCTACAACGCATTTGTTTTTTGATATTTTACGGTATGTGGTGTATATATGTGTTGTTTCTTAGTCTATAGGCTAGTTCATGGATCATAGTTGGGCAGGAGGTTATAAATGAGAGTCAATTTATTGCTTTGTAAAGAAATATTAGATCGTTCTTTAGCCTACGGTGCCACAAAGGTTCTTAAGAGAGGTGTTTACATCTATCTGTGTAATGGAGAGTGGAGTCACTTCCTAGCAGTTGGCATATGATGCGTCTTTGAACACCTTCTACTCTTATCTTGTCTGTGTTCTCCGTGTTAGAGAAGATAAAGGAGCAGTATTTAAGGGAAGGTCGTACACACATTTTATGGGGGTTAAGCATAGCCTCTGTTGTGAAGAATGTATTCGTTACGAAACCAGTTAACCGTCTAGATTTAAAAATAATAGAGGAGGCATGTTCTTCGAAGTTTAGGCTTCGTGTGTAGATTTAGAAATAATTGAGGAGGCATGTTCTTCGAAGTTTAGGCTTCCTGTGTAATTAATTTCTAGATGGTGTACTGAATTCAGTGTCTAGATTCTACTTTTATTTAAGTAGATTTGCAGTTCATAAGGATGCCGCATTAGTGGACGGGAGTTCAACGAATAGCTGAAGCTGTTTACAGTCTAGTAACAAGGTTATTAGCCTTTTGAATTTGGTAAAACTGTCACAGTTACGGATAGGTATTGGCAACCTGTTCTACAATAAACTATACCACACTGTAAAAAACTTACAACGCAATTGTTTTTTGATATTTTACGGTATGTGGTGTATATATGTATTGTTTCTTAGTCTATAGGCTAGTTCATGGATCATAGTTGGGCAGGAGGTTATAAATGAGAGTCAATTTATTGCTTTGTAAAGAAATATTAGATCGTTCTTTAGCCTACGGTGCCACAAAGGTTCTTAACAGAGGTGTTTACATCTATCTTGTAATGGAGAGTGGAGTCACTGCTAGCAGTTTGGCATTATGATCGTGCGTCTTTGAACACCTTCTACTCTTATCTTGTCTGTGTTCTCCGTGTTAGAGAAGATTAAAGAGTAGTATTTAAGGGAAGGTCGTACCACATTTTATAGAGGGTAAGCATAGCCTCTGTTGTGGAAAAGTATTCGTTACGAAACCAGTTAACCGTCTAGATTTAAAATAATAGAGGAGGCATGTTCTTCAAAGTTTAGGCTTCCTGAATTAATTTCTAGATGGTGTACTGAATTCAGTGTCTAGATTCTACTTTTATTTAAGTAGATTTGCAGTTCATAAGGATGCCGCATTAGTGGACGGGAGTTCAACGAATAGCTGAAGCTGTTTACAGTCTAAGTAACAAGGTTATTAGCCTTTTGGAATTTGGTAAAACTGTCACAGTTTACGGATAGGTATTGGCAACCTGTTCTACAATAAACTATACCACACTGTAAAAAACTTACAACGCAATTGTTTTTTGATATTTTACGGTATGTGGTGTATATATGTATTGTTTCTTAGTCTATAGGCTAGTTCATGGATCATAGTTGGNGCCTGGTCATGAAAGATACAGATCGGAAGATACCAGCCC